TATGACATGGCCCTGCTGGGTGCTCGCCTCATGGAGAGGAAGATCTGGGAGCTACAGCAAAGTGGCGAAAAGACCAGATGATGGCCAGCTGTCAAAAAGAATAGTGTGTTAGAGCTTAAATTGTGAACACTTAGTTCACAGAAAGTGACGGCTAACAGTGAGAGCCCCAAATCCATTTCCCTCTAACATTAGTCCAGAGATGCAAATAGTTCTGCTACCAGAGAGCCTTGTAAAGTCCATTATGGCAGACAGTTAGGTTAGAATGTAACACCATACCATTTGATCTCCCTTTTGACCCATTTTAAGATTGTTTCCGTTTTGTTTTAATCATTTTATTAGGGGCTCCTACAACTCTTATCACAATCCATACATGCATACATTGTGTCAAGTACATTTGTACATTTATTGCCATCATCATTCTCAAAACATTTGCTTTCTACTTGAGCTCTTGGTATCAGCTCCTTTCCCCCGCGCCCCTCCTCCCCACCCCACCATTGTTTCCTTTTTTAATGCATTCTGCCTTTTTTTTTTCTCTGAGGTTTTTTCGTTGTTGGGTTTTTCTTGTTTCTTGATTTTGCTTTGCATCATTTTCTGTCTGTGAGATCTAGGTAGGCAAATCTACAGCGACGGTGACCGGTGGTTAATTACCTAGGGACATGGCTGGAGAGGGTGGGGAGAAGTGGGGAGCTAACAATAGTATGAGAACAAAGAAACTGCTCTGACATTGATTGTGGCGATCAGTGCACAACCCTTCTTAGTAGCATGTGAATTAGATGACAATAAACGATAGATATTTTAAAAGTCAGGAGAAAGAGGGGATTTTTCACTCCTGTGGAGTTACACTCTCTGAAGCTCACAGGGGCAGGTCTACCCTGTCCTATTGGCTCACTATGAGTCGGCATCAACTGATGACAGCCAGTTTGCTTGTTTGTTAAAAAGTACTGCTGGCCATCATCCTTCTTTCCTTCCTCCCTCCCTCCCTCCTCTAGGGTCAGGACAGCAGCAGACATTTCCTCGGTTTGCAAGGCTGCCAGATTGAGTTCAGCTCGCTGAAGCCGGCGCCCTGCCCGTCTGGGTTGCCCGCACCACCAGAAGGATGCAAGGGGTGTCGCCATGTCTGCAAACATTGACAGATGGCCCCAGTGACTTAAAAACCCAACAGCATCCTCTGTTCTCTCTTCCTTCTTGCTACTCCTTGCTCTCCTCTCCTTGGGGCCCTCTCAATACCTGCTCTCCCTCAGTCCCCAGGCACCCTCCCACCTGTTCTGCAGAAGAAGAGGAAGCTGTGGCACCAGAGTCACTTAACTCTTTCCTCGCCAGACTCAGCTGTAGTTTGTTAGTGGGTTTGTATTAAACCTAATTTTCTCTTCCTTTATGTCAGCGGTTTTCAACCTGTGGGTCGTGACCCCTTTGGGGTCCAACAACCCTTTCACAGGGGTCACCCGATGCATAACAGTACCAAAATTACAGTTATGAAGTAGCAACAAAAATAATCTTATGGTTGGGGGGTCACCACAACATGAGGAACTGTATGAAAGGGTCGCGGCATTAGGAAGGCTGAGAACCACTGCTTTATGTAATAGCGGCTCTTGTGGTCTCTATCCCTTTAAGTGAGCTAATTCTCTGGCTCTAGACCAGGAGTCTTCAAACTACGGCCCACAGGCCACATGCGGCCCACATGCAGCCCGCCCATCAAGGACATTTATCCGGCCCGCCGGGTGTTTTTGCCCTGCTTGTTTTTTTACTACAAAATAAGATATGCGCAGTGTGCATAGGAATTTGTTCACAGTGTTTTCTTAAACTAGAGTCCGGCCCACCAACGGGTCTGAGGGACAGTGAACTGGCCCCGTTTAAAAAGCTTGAGGACCGCTGCTCTAGACAAAGGTCAGTTCTGACCTTTCTCTGGCTATCCTAAACTCCTTTCCCTTCATTCCGTTCCCTACAAACCTCACCTCCCTCAATAAATCTATTCAAGGTCCCACTCTGCCTCTTGTCTCTGTAAGCCCTCCCTTCTTTCCTTCCTCTGAAACTGGCCCATCAGATTTAGGTTGTGCTTGCCGTGCCACAGCCACCTTCCAACCTTGCCGGACTCTCCTCGGATTTTCCTTAGTTTTTGTGCCCACTGCTCCCACCCAGGCCGCTCTCAAGGTAACCCATTGAGCATCTTCCCAAACCCAGCCAGGTGGCCTTCAGAGCCTGTTGCACGACTGGGCCAGCACAGGGACTTGACCCACAAGCCTGGACCCAATCAATGCCTGGAACTCAGACCATCCTTTCTGAACCGGTATTTCCCAAAGCTGGGGGTGTCCCGAGTGATGCAGGAGAGGAATTCCCTGGGTACCCCAGAGTGATGACTGAGAAAGAGTATTTCAGAATTCAAGAGTTACCGTCTTGGAAACCCACAGGGGCAGCTCTACTCTGTCCCAGAGGGTCACTATGAGCCGAATCGACTCGATGACAGTGAGTTTGGTTTTCGTTCCTACAGGTGCCCTGGTGAGCAGTGATTTAAGAGTTGGGCTGCTAACCGCAAGGTCAGTAGTTCAAAACCACCAGTTCCTCTGAGGGAGAAAGACGAGGTGTTCTATTCTCAGGACTGTTACAGCCTGAGAAACCCACAGGGGCATCTCTGAACTGCCTGTAGGGTCGCCATGGACTCGATGGCAATGAGGCTTGGGGTTGAGAGGACCAGATGATGGGTAGGCTGGAGACCTCACAGGCCTTTTTCTTACTGAGACCCACGTTTCCTTAACTGGAGGCTGGGTGGAGTTTACACCTCGTGGTGCAGGTGGGAACTGGGTGATGCAGTTTTGTCAGGTCCCCAGAATGTACAAGTGTTAAACACATGACTTTAGTACCAGGCTGGTTCTCAAAAAATACCTTTTGCCTCCCCCTCAGAAGAGAAAGTGTTCGGTAGTCTAGCATAGGTGTTGGGTGTCCATAACGCAGGCCCACAGGGACAAGCTATGGAAACAAAGGAGTGGCACACTGCACATGCTCAGAGGTTCACGTTTCCCTCCAGGTACTCGTGGGTGGGCGCTGCACCTGGATTGGCCCACTGAATTTAATTCAGCCAATGGGGTCAACCAGGGGTTGTCCACCACGTCTCCCTGCGGAATAATTGAAAAGGAGTTTCCAGGCAGGCTGCACTGTTCAGGAGGAGCCTTGTGGGTGCCTGTGTAAACCTGAAACGTCTTCGAACGCTCATAAAACTCACTTGGATCACAAACCAGGCTTCGTCGTGAATTCTTTCGCGCGTGGAGCCAAGGACCGAGGTATATCTCTCCTCTGAAAAATCTAACAAAAGGGACATATTCTTTGGACGTATGCCTGGGCCCTGGGTTAGAGCTTAAGTTTTGAGCGCCCCAGTTTGCAAAAGGCTATGGCTGGCAGTGAGCCCAAAATCGACGTGCAGAGTCCCCACACAGCTTAAACCGCCATTGTATTTCCTGCTCCTTAACCGAGAATGTTGTTAATGGGTCCAGCAGTAACACTACAGTTCTCAGCCATTGCCAGTCTCTAACCCCTTCTCCAACCCCACCTAGCATAGCCTGACACCTAGCCTTCTCAAGATGTCTCAAAGAAACCTCCCCCTCTCTCTTCACCTTTCTGCTGGGGCCACAGCCAATTGGAGGGAAGTGCAGGCTCCTTTTAGACATGATGATTTATCTGTCTCAAAAGTTTATTAACAAGGGGTCCTTTTTCGTTCTTCACTTTCTCACGGGCCACTTGTCCATCCCTTCGTTCTCTCTCTCTCTTATACTCTTTACTCCAATCTCCCCCTTACCCTGTCCCCTTTACTCTTACTCCATTCTAAACACCCAGGCAGGTCATTAATGCTAATAAAACCTGTTAAAACCCACACTCTGGGTCCCCTTTCAAGACTTGTATTCCCATTCTAATAATAATCTTGCCCTCAGGCAAGAATGCTTAGAAAGTGGATTACCCCCACCCATCTCCAGCCAGTGCAGGGAGGGGGCAGTCTCTTAGGGGCTTGCCTGGGTGTGTCCTTGTAGAAAGTAAATTGTGTCCTGACTGCCTTGGTTGGAAGGCCCTGGACCAATCTTGTGAGCTCTTCTGACAATGCACTACATGTCCCAATGGTGGCCCTGTTCCTACTTCTGTAGTCTCACCAATAACTGTGATGTACTTATCTGCCCCAATCGTGAATTTGAATTTCTCTGTTCCATGCCTGATGTTTCCAGCACACCAACTGTGAATCCTTGGACGTCATTTTGACGTTGTGGCCCCACTTATCACCGTGAGTCTGTCTTTGTTGCTTGTCTCTTTTAAGACTTAATAAACATCCTCCTTAGAGATTGGGGTCTCTTTTGTACCCTAAAACAGCCTTCAGAAAGCCAAGTCCTTTTCTCTTTGTTCTAAGCTGCCTTGGCTGCATCCCTTGGCGTGGGACAACACAATGAGTTCTTGTTTGCAAAACGTCGTTCTGCCTTTAATAAAACACCGCATCAACAGCTGCTAATAAACTTCTGGTTTTAGATGGAATCGTAGTATTTTTCGCACCATATACCTGGCTCCCTCTTGAACAGACTTTTAGTCCTGAGGCAAGATCTAATGCGTGGGGTCAAGGGCAGAGCTGTGACTCAGCCTCCTCGGAATCCAGGGGCATCCCCCACCTTTTGAAGGGTGCGATGCTACGCCCAAGGACCTTTGGGAGGGGCAAGTGGTTTGCGCTCTGCAGCTGCCCGAAAGGTTGGTGGCACAGATCTGCGAACGAGCACGGAACCCAGCGCGGGCCTGCCCTCTGTGGCGCTCAAGGTCGCCAGGACTGGGGATTCACTCCCCAGTGGAGTCCCGCTGGTTTAGTGCGCGTGCGCGTGTTTGACGTTGAAACAGTTATTTAATTTCTCCATAACGGCCACAACGGCCTTCTAGTACGGGAAGGGACTGCCTGGGCTGCTGGGCAGAGCAGATGCTCTATGACGTCAACATGCTGTCGGTGCCATACGGCAGGGCAGAGGTCGCGACGGAGGCGTGCAGTGATGACGTCGCGCGCCGCCCCGCCGCCCAGCCGCGTCCTGTTCGCAGCGTCGAGAGCTGCCAATACAGTTCTGTTTGGAGCCGGAAGCAACGCCGCCAGGCGCTCGGCATCCGTCGTAAAAGCGGCGG